TGTGCTTGCAGCAGAGGAAAATGAACCCCTGAGCTCGGCCTGTTTCCCTCTACAGTATCTGTAATCACCGTGGGGCCACACATATAAGGATCTACACATTCTATACGATCATTAAGAAGATAATTAGCAAGTGCGATGAAAAAAAAGCTGAAACTTGTGGTTCATAATGGCTGATGAGAAAGTGTTGCCTTTTAATTTAAAACTTTTAGTTACGTACTCTAGTTAACAATTTCTTTAATTTGGCCTCTTCACAAACACATCTTATATTACATCAGTGTTTTCCTTCTAAGTGTCATGGCGGCAAGATGGTCACCTTGGGGCCACCGGAGAATTTATTGCTTGTTTTATGGTGGCACAAGAGCACCCATAAAACATATTCACACTCCTCACATATCATTACGTGTGCTTCATTATCAGAGGCTTACGTTACAGTTAAAGGACACACCACATTTGGTTGATTTGTCTTGTATTTGCCTCACAAAGGTCATCACATGAAAAATGTAAGAGATGCTTTTGACACAACAGTCACTTTTCCTTCTCTGAAAAGGATACAATGAAACTAGAGGGAAGCGCAGTAACCGAACTGGGATGAAACTCAAGCTAGTGTTCAGCTGTGACCTGCTGTAACTGCTGTTCTGACTGTACCCCCAAACCTAATAAAACACGCCCATCGTGCAGTTGCTTCCTTGTTTCTCTGTATCCCCCTTTCTCCCCTTTTTTTTTTGGTCCATTTTTTTTGAAAAATCGAGGCTGGGTGGGGGGTGGGAGGGGGTGTGTTGGGGGGCTGAACAGAGGAACGGCAGGGGTGTAGGGTGTCTCGAGCCCAGTGCGAACAGCTGAGAGGTGTGATTTCACAGGCTGGCTCCCCCCTGTCAGGGTCCTGATTGGGCCGGACAGGAGGCGCAGGAGAGGCCCGGGCTTCTAAAGGACACCAACAGGTGGGAGGCCGCTTTGGAGGGGGGCGCTCCTGGCGGGATAGAAAAGGCCGGTCTGCCAGGCCTGTAGTGAGCACAATCCACCGGGCCAGATATGGAGGAGGATGGTTGATCGCAGGAGGTGAAGAGAGGCGAAGGCAGTAGGAAGCTCAGGCAGAGATGAGTTTTGGCTTCAAATGGTGGAAAGGGCAGCTTCAGGGACAAGGAGTAAAGTTGGTCTCAGGGTTTGGTGGGTTTTTTTATGTCTTTCTGCTTTTAGTTTTCCTTTTAAACCCAGCTTTTGGACAACTTTTTCTACCAACCTTTACTTTTTTGGTTTAGTGTAAAAGGTTAATATTTGACAGCCACATAATGGATAGTGACATCTGTTGAGTCAAGGGTCTTCCAGATTGAGATGTTGCAGACTTTTTCGTCCTTAGTTTCCATGATCTGCAGCACCATGTGGGTGAAATCAGGCGTCAAAGCAAATGTTTCTTGTAAGATTTACGATAGACTCACGGTGGCAGAGCCTGACACCTCTGTCAGGTTAGGGGAAGCTGAGGTGTGATACAGGAAAGAATCAGGAAATTATCATCACAGTTTAATCAGAGTAGAAGTTTGGCTTTCTAATGGCCATTTTGGTCAGATTGAAATAGCAGCATGTAGATATATTGAGGAAGTCACCAGTAGACAGAGAAGGAGAATCAGGCTGAACCCAAAGTGGCCTCAAGCTCAACTCCAGCTGCAGAAAACCACAAGAGGAGACGCAGCAGAATTAAATAAAGGTGAGTACGAATGCATTTCAAATGTGAGCCATTTTAACATTGCTTTCTTATTATTTATGTTCCTACAAAAGGACTTAATTACACAGTTGTTGGGATCAACATAACTTGGCATGACATAATGTTTTAGGAGATAGCACAGATTTTGACCTTTGCCTGCTGGAAGTCAGAATTTGCTTCACCCTCCAGAGTTATTTAAACACAAGGGAGTTCAGCATCATCGCTTTGGCCTACCCATAAAGGAGATGTGTTATTTAGCAGTATCAATCTAATATATAATACTTTCAGGGACAAACAAAGTAGGTAATATGTCTCTTTCTGTATCAGAAGGTCCTGCTTTTTGCTAGAAGATAACATCTGGAAAATGAACCTTAAATAGGCCACAATTTAACAAAATGTAAAAAGTAATTTTTTGTCAAACCACACTTTGAATGTCTAATAAATCTGTGGCGCAGATGATCGAGTCACGTGTCTGTAGCTCTGTCACAGTTAACCATTGTTAAGCCGGTTGTTCCTGCTACTCTGCAACTGTGACTATATGAAAGGGTGCTTTGTGTCCGAGGAGAATCCAGTTGTTGCCCCTTGTGAGGACATGCTTCCTTATATCGCCATATTCATTCACCACTTATGGAATGTAAGGAAGTGTGTGGTTTCAATGGGACTTGAGCGCCAACCCCACTGAGAAGAAGAGCCACGCTGATTTCATTTTGCACATATTTATTTAAGTGAATGGTAGAAAATGTCAGTTTTCATTCAGCATGAGTGTGCCTTTGTCTGTTTTATGAGATGAGGGAGGGGGGCTGGGGGGTGTCAGAGTTCATGAGCATGTGTGTAAGTGTGTGGCAGGGCAACAGGTGAAAGGCCTTTTCCCTCCTTCAGCTCAGACACATGCTCAGTTAGAATTACTCAGTGCTGATGATCGGGTCTCAGGGACTTCTTGAAAAAATTCCTGCCCTGCCCCAACGGCTGACAGTCAAGGAGGATTGACAGACCACAGCTGTCACCCATTATAGCAACCACAGGACTCTCAAAAAAGGAAGAGGGGAGGGATGTCACTGAGAGTGAAGGTTTGCTCCTGCAGGCTGGATTTGGAAGGAAATGGGGCGCTGTCAGGGTTCCCAAACCTCTAAATACCTATCTGCTCGGTAACACTTGTTTCTGTTGTGTATATTTCAGTGCTAATGATGTTCCTTTTCTCTCTGTTTCATCAGGTAAGGCTGAAGAGAACATGATGACCACGCAGAAGATGTCCAACTTCCATTTCCTCTCCTATCCTTGTATTTCTACGTCTTCGACCCCCTGTGACCTCTCCTCCTGCTCTCACTGCCCTTTGCAGCTGAAGCAACACACCTTGCTGTGGCTGGTCAAACGGAACCAAGTCAGGTGTTTCTGTGAGGTTTGGTCCCCTTCAACCAGCTACTGCGTCGTGAATTCAGTCAGCGTGGAGTCAAAGACAGAGTGTGGTGTATGCTGCTTTTTACAGATGTGGTAGTTTATTGACAGTGATGTTATTTATTTGTTTCTGTAGTTTAGTGTTGGTTGTTCTCTGCATGGTCATTTATGTTTGAAAAAGTAAATAAAGATTTCTGATAACATCAAGTGGTGAATTACAATTTATCCTGAATGTATAAAGTTTTAAAAGTGGTTACCAAATGTGAAATATAGTTTCATAGAGTAAAATGTCCCAATACAAGCCCATTTGAAACTTTTTTTTGTGTATGTTGGTAAGGGTTTTCTTCTGTTTTATTAGTTATAGAGTGGTATAAAATCTGTTGCCTTTGTCCAAGTATTACTACAAATAAGTCATTATGTACAGTCAATGTCTGATAATAACACTCTGCATTGTATACAACATTTCAAATAAAATGTGATTCTTACAGTATTTGCAATTCATTGTTTAGCATAAAAAGCCCCCTCCAAAAAGTGAATGAGACTCAATATTACTTACTGTAATAATACAAATATTGTTAAGAATAGCTAATTTTCTAGCCCTTTTTAAAGGATAGTTTTGGGAGAAGCTGTGGTCGTTGTTATATGTTCTTCAGTATATTCAAAAAGGCAGTAGAAAATAATGGTGTGTTTGTAAATGGAATTGGCAATTATGAAACAGAGCATTCTATAATTTGTTCTCACAACCAAAGAATAAGAATAATTGTTGGTCTGATTATAAATGCTAATTTAGTTTTTGTTAACTTTGCACTAATTTCCAATGATAATCTATGAAACACTTAAGACACATATTCTTTAAAATAATTTATGGTTCTGTGTCATTCTCTTTCAAAATGGCTATTACAACAGAAAATGAATGCTTGCAGGATTCAATAGAATTAGTTAGGACCACTTTCTTTTAGATCTATAGTATCCCCCCACATTTTTAAATATTAACATTTGAACATTTAGACTGAAGGGATGCTTGTAATTACAAAACACATTTTTCATAAGGATTCAATCAACAATAAGAATCAGATGGATTGAGGGGGCATATACTCAAATCCTACTGTAGAAGATGACAACATGGATGTCATGCGTTGCAGCAAGATTTGCTGCTAAATATATAAAGATAATAAATTGTGTAGAATATTGCACATAACTATGTATGGTTTGTGAGAAAAAAATTGCTAAAACATTTAATATAAATATAAGGGGCTGATCTTTGAGCAGATAGTCATTGTGAAAGTGTGCATACTGCTTTCATCCAGTGGTGGACTGTAACTAAGTAGATGTACTCAAGTACTGTAGGTAAACAATTGAGGAACTATTTTCACAGTATGCCACTTTATACTATTTTCTCCACTACATTTATTTTAAAGAAGTAGTTACTAGTACCTTTGGAGATTTAGATTAGTAATACACAATCAGTAATTCAAATAAACCCCACTTTTACCAATTGAATCATTGAAATTATGAACACATTTGGCATCAATAATACATTCATTTGAAATATATGGCGCCTAAATTGGCCCTTCCGCATAACGACTACTTTTACTTTTGGTACTTAAAGTATATTTTGATGCTAATACTTAAATACAATTTTCAATGCAGGATTTTTACTTGTAACAGAGTATTTTGACACTGTATTGCTACTTTTACTTGATTAAATAATCTGAGTACTTCTTCCGTCTCTGCTTTAATCCCTGAGTGAGATACGATAGTCGTTAAAGCTTACAAATAAAAAATCTTTAAAACAAAATAACGAATGTAAAGAAATAAAAAAAGCTAACTATAATAACAAATACATTTACAGGAAACACTTTAGTTAAATGTTTATCCACCAGGGGGCGATACAATATTTCCAGGCGTTAGTTTGTGCAGCAGCAGAGGAAGTTCAGCAGCAGCGTAAACATGGCTGACAGTGGAGTGACAGGTGAGTTCGTGAGAGTGTAACAGCTGGACTTTATAACTGTTCCCAGGTATTTTTGATGACTTTACCGTGGGTGCGACGACAACATGTCTTCCACTTACATTCCACGTTTAAAGGTGTTTTGGTTTGGCTTGTAGCAAAGTTAATTTCCCTCTATGCTAGTGCTGCTAACGTTAGCATTTCAAGCAAGCCAGTTTAACGGTGTTGTGATGATATTGCATCAGCCTCTCATCATGTTATTTTCTAATGAACAGAACAACTTAAATGGCTGTTTTAAGTTGTCATTGTAGCAGGAAATAATAGCCAACCAGTTCTATGACTGAGGTCGTTAGCATAAAGCTAGTGTCTGCTAACAGCATCACCTAAACCAAAGACCTGGTAGAAGGCTGGTGCAGGTATTGGAGCTTCCATGCATTAACGAGTACATAAATACTGATGAACTTATTTAATGTCATCATGTATTGTTCTTTTTTTTACAGATGGAGCTGTCGGAAAAGATGGTATACAACAAGCAAAGGTTAGTATGTTCTCAACATGTGGCACAGTCTAGTTTAAGGCTTCCTAAGATGTAATGTTTTCATGGACTCATTTATTGACATGCTTGCTTTACAGATTGAAGGCAAAGAGCTGACCAAAGACGAGAAGCAGCGGCTGAGGAAAGAGAAGAAACAGCAGAAGAAAAACAAAGAGAAAAATGATGAAAATGCTTCAAAGGAAAGCGAAGAGAAGCCTGTCAGTGCGGCTGCTCCAACTCCAACACAACCCTCACAGAAGGGTAAACATAATGTAGACAGCACCAGAGATTGTTGTAGTCTAAGGCCCCTCAATGTGTTACATGAGGCATGTTTCACTTTGTTCATCTATTGCTAGCAGTTACAAGTGGATAACATCTGAGATATTTGTGAAGGAAATGTTCTTTCAAACTGTGATCTATTGCTATATTTAATCTCAAGATTCAAGGCTTTATTGTCATTTGTACATTAGCTACAGTGTAGATATATCAATGACAAACTTAGGTCACAGGCTCCTCCAACAGTGCAACATATATATATAGGACATAGAACAAATAAAACAGATAAAATAGAATAGAAATAGTGCAAGAAGAGTCTATATACAAGTACATGGAATACGATATATTAGATAAATAATTTGTAAGATGCAAACAGATGAATGTTTATGGATGTTCTTTCCAAAGTTCAGGTGTTTAATAGTCTTATGGCCTGTGGGATCATGAAACTGTCCCTGAGTCTGGTGGTTTTTAGACCTGACTGTTTGTTGCTGGGGCGATCGGGGGGGGTCTTTTGTTCTCCACCCTGACCCCACTGCTTCTCCCTCAGCTCCTTCAGCAGTGCCCGCTCCTGCATCACTTCCTGTGCCTGCCTCAGAACCTCAGCCCGCTAAGAGTAAAGCAGACATGAAAGCTGGGAGGAGAGCAAGGCAAGAGTCTGAGAGGGCGTCCAAAAAGAAGGGAGATGCGGGTCAGCCGGCTGCTACGGGTAAAGCTAAAGCAGCACCCAGTGAGCTGCAGCCAGGTACTGTAGCGGCCCGGAGGTCAGCATGTGTGGTGACCATCTGAAGTTATACCTTTTAAACAAATGTCACGCTTTTTATGTTTTTCCAGTGGTGAAGAGGCTCCCAGAACATGTCCAAGTGGACAACCCAGATGTTTTAAAGAAACTGGCAAAGAAGTTGGAGAAACAACAGGTTAGAAACGTTATGCTTCATCTCTAAAAACCATGACTGATAAGCCTGTTTGAAATAATGAGCATAAGTGTTAGCTTTTTAGTTAAATCTTGAGCATTAACTACTAAATAAAAGAGTTGACAAAATGTACAACACACAAAATGTATCAAGGAATACGGTTGACTAAATGAATACAGCCACCTGTTGCAAATAACATACTATATCATGTATTTATTTTATTATTTAAACTTCAAGATTTGGTTATTTATTTTGACTGATCAATAATAACAAGCATTATATTATTTTGTATATACTATTCATAAACTAAATATTGCTTATTCTGGATTTTATGCTGTTTTAGTCCAGTTTTATAGGTCTTCGTAGGTATCTAGACTTTACAGAGGAACTCCTAAAACAGAAAGGTTCAGCTAAGAAAATAAGTAAAATACAATATGATGTCTGCTGCAGGCGTTTTGTGAAAGTGATCTATTCAGTTACATTTAATAATGCCTGAGTCATCTAGTAACTTTTCATTACAGATTGCCTCATGTTAGGATATCTTACAACAATAACTGTTTTTGGAGCATCACCAACAACAACCCTAAAACAACCCTAAAATACTCTTCATAAATATTGCAGTGTGTGCTCATCCTGTTCCATCACTCGTTGCATGAGATAATAACTATAACTGCATGTGATCATACCTAACTTTTCTTTCAGACGCCAGGGTGCAATGCTGCTGCAAATTTTGAGGTCTGCCTTCCTTACATGTGAATGCGTGACATTGACATTTGTCTAGTTTTGTTTGCTAACCTGTAATCGTTTTCGTACACCAGCACCGCTCAGAAATGAAAGATGAAACGTATTGTATGATCCGTTAAGACAGAGGTCTTTGGGATACGTTTGTTTGAAAATGTGTTACATGTTAATGTACATTTTGTTCTTGTGTGTTTAACTCAACACCGAGCTGTTTGCTGTGCTGGATTGTGGTTGTGCTGCTCTGTTTGTTTGGAGAGTATTTAAAAAAACGTACATAACACAAAGATGTTTGTCTGTTGCCAAGGTCAAACACGAACATGTCTCAGTACATTTTATTTGAAAGTAACCTCCCATTAATATGAAATACATTTTGCTCTAAAGCAACTTTAGTTTTTTCCTCTGGTCAACTGAGTTTGATTGTTTATGTATGTGTGCTGTGACTCCGTTATAACCTTATGATCTCAGATGTAACCTCTAAATGACTGGAGAACAAAGCCAATGCTTTTTAATCTGTTTTATTTCAGATCCCCCTCCGGTTAGACTACGGCCACAAAGTCAGCCTGTTTTCTCATCTCCACCAGTACAGTCGCAGAGCCCCTCTAACACAGCAAATTGGGTAAGCTGAAAATATACCTTTTATAGTCGTTTGATTTTAATCGCGGCAATTTGTTTTAATCCCTTTACAATTACTTTAAATCTCATGTATTGACTGTTGTTGTGTGTTGCAGCATTCCCTCCACAGTGATTCATCCTGCTATTGTCCGCCTGGGTCTCCAGTACTCACAGGGCATTGTGGCGGGGTCCAACGCCCGCTCTGTGGCCCTGCTGCATGCTTTCAAACAGGTACAGAGCACACTCTTTAGTCTTTACCATCCCATTGTCGTTCCTATACAGCATTTTAGACCATAACAGCTACAAAAAGCAAGGCTTCACTCGTTCGGTTCTGTTGGTTCAGACACACTCCTCCTCGCCTAAATGTTGTTGCACTGATGCTGTAACTGATTCATACTCCATCCACTGATCCTCATGCAAAGCTAAACCAGCAATAGAGTTCAGTTTCCATCTTATCACTCAATACAATTTAGCATTCGACTCCCAGGATCAGGTTTTCAGGAGCGAGCAATCCAGCTTCTTCAGAAATGACCTTCTTCTTTGATGATTGTTATTACTAAGGACCAAATAAATGTCAACAACTAAAGGCAATGTTTGTTCCTCTGCTTTAGGTAATAAGGGACTATACAACACCTCCAAATGAAGAGCTATCTAGAGACTTGGTCAACAAGTTGAAACCTTATATCAGGTATGAAAACGCATATCAGATTTTGTTTATCATCGGTATAAGTTTTATAACTAACTCTTTTCTTAATGTCTTAAATTAAAATATACAGCTTTGCACATATATAATGTTCCTCCCCTATTTTCCTTGCAGTTTTCTGAATCAATGTCGCCCCCTGTCAGCCAGCATGGGTAATGCGATCAAATACATCAAGAAAGAGATCTCCAATATTCCTAGTCAATGCAGAGAAGAAGAAGTAAGTGTCACATGATGCAATCCTCATACAATGTAGCCAGAGACCATTAGCTTAAGCCTTAAGTTGTTGTAGCAAACATATTCCACAAAGACAGAAGCGTTAATGTGACTGATTTACCGTTATCCTTCTTTTCCACATTTCCTCTTTAGGCGAAGAGCAAGCTGCTGAGCTGTATCGAGCGTTACATCGATGAGAATATCATCCTCGCTGCTAAAGCTATCGCTAAGTCCTCCATAGAAAAGATCAGTGATGGAGACGTCATCCTAGTTTATGGATGGTAAGCCTCTCAAAGCTTACTTGAAGGAAAACAAATTGGGTGTCTGGTTTAGTGTGAGAATCTGCAGTTTCCTGTTTCCAAGCATTGCTTAATTGGTTGTCAAGCAAAATGAATGCAACACTCACGTATCCAACCCTAAGTCCTGCTTTTCACACTTTCTCTTCCTTTTTTCTGTCTTGCCCATTACACTCCCGACTTCCTTCCACATTTTCCCTCAAACTACTTATTTCCTCGCTCAGCTCGTCGCTGGTCAACCACATCTTGTGCGAGGCCTTTGAGAAGAAGAGGAAGTTCCGTGTGATCGTGGTGGACAGCCGGCCTCGTCTGGAGGGCCGCGAGGCTCTGAGGCGCCTCGTCCAGAGAGGCATCAGCTGCACCTACGTCCTCATCTCCGCTGTCTCCTACATTCTCCCAGAGGTACATTCACACTTTCCAGCTTCCATAGATAATAAATCAATGAGTAGCCAAAGCATCTCAAATGTATTAACTCTGTCTTTATGCCTTGAACGTGGCCTTCCGCAGGTATCGAAGGTGTTCCTCGGTGCTCACGCTCTGCTGGCCAACGGTTACGTGATGTCTCGCGTGGGGACGTCACAGATCGCTCTGGTGGCCAAAGCCTTCAACGTGCCTGTGCTGGTGTGTTGTGAGACATACAAGTTCTGTGAGAGGGTGCAGACAGACTCCTTCGTGTCCAATGAACTAGGTATGGAAGCCAGTGGATTGCTAAAATGTACCATAAGTGTTTGTTTATTTTAAGTTATTTTATTTGTGTTCCTGTCACTTCAAATTTAGAGGTTTTAATCACAAATGTCATCATAATAATCAAATCAAGTTTTATTTATAAAGCACATTTAAAAGCGATTTTTGGTCGAGGCAAAGTGCTGTACATGTAATAAAAACACATTACTACAATCACAATAATTTACAACAGAAATATAAAAAACAAAAACACAGGGAATAGTCAGGTGTCATGCTCCGCTCTGACTAGAAGGCCAGAGAGAAGAAGTGTGTTTTTAGTGAGGATTTAATGTCTGGGCCGACCTCACATGGAGGGGCAGACTATTCCAGAGCCTAGGGCCAGCTGCTGCGAAGGCTCGGTGCCCTCGGGTTTTGAGCCTGGTCTTGGGCACTACCAGCAGCAGCTGGTCAGCAGACCTTAAAGCTCTGGCTGGGGTGTAGCGATGGAGGAGTTCGGCTATATAGGCCGGAGCCAGCCCATTTAGGGCTTTGAAAACAAATAATAGGATTTTAAAATCAATTCGGAACTGATTTGGAAGCCAGTGTAATAATAATACACTGTCACATCAATCGTTTTGGTAACTATACCATATTTGCTGATATCAAAAGTCTACTTTAATTCAATTCAAGGGATTGCAACAGATAGGAGACGTGTCATGACCATTTTACACAGTGACGTTCAATCCAACTAACACGTATAAAATATGATTTTAAAACTGTATTGCTGGGCTCTTTCAGACATTTAAATGCAAAACAATATATTCATTTGAATAGAAATAATAAAAAAATACCTTGTTTCTATAAAGTGCCCCATTTCTCGTTTTTATTAAATAAAAAAGAGGAATGCAGATAATATTTCCTCTTTGATCATTGAATCAATATCAATAGATCTATGTATATTGATAACCTTACTTAAATAGCTACTGTCTCATTGATTGAAATTCCTTCCAAACATTAGATAATTTATCTTCTTCTGTGCTTTCCAGATGACCCTGACGACCTCATTGTGACGCGTAAGGGGAGGACCCAGCTGGAGCACTGGCAGGAAGTGCCCTCTCTCGGCCTGCTGAACCTGGTGTACGACGTGACGCCGCCTGACTTCGTGGACTTGGTCATCACAGATCTGGGAATGATCCCTTGCACCTCGGTCCCTGTGGTGCTGCGAGTGAAGAACGTGGACCAGTGAACGACAGTCTGAGCTCAGAGGCTGTTTCTCTGTGTTCTCCATGGTTTGAGCTTGAATGCTTGCACACAACACAAAACACCATGCTCTGAGCATGCAATAAATATATATGAAATGGCATATGCTTTTTAAACAGAGTCCATGTGTGTTTTATGAATGAATTGGATAACTACCAGGGTTTGTTTCCCTTTAGGAGGGTAGTTCTGTTTTAGTTTTTTTTATACATTTGGTATAGGCAAGATGTTTACATGGATCCACGTTGAGAATGGTTTATTTACAACAGAACATTTAATTGCCAGTATTTGGAGCAGAACCGTTCCAATGCGGTTGAAAACATGCACTCGTTGTCAACCACAGCATGCCATTTCAAACCAGCCAGAAATGGTTCCCTAATTACAGTCGGAGCTGCAGTATCTGTGAAGAGTTTGTGAGCCATAAAATCCCTCTGCCTAGTTTTTAATGACCATCGATTCATTGAACAGAATAAAAAGAGTGAGACATAAACTAGGATTTCTTGGCAAAGGAACTGAGTTTGTTTATTGTTATGTCCAGAAATTCAACGCATGACACTAGCGTGCGTCAAATCTCATATTGACTTGGTATTTTATGGGACCTATCATGCAAAATGCACTTTTGTACGTCTTTTATACATGAATATGTGTCCCCGGTGTTCCAGGGAACTCACCAAGTGTCAGAAAACACAACCCTCTCTATTTTCCTCCATACCCAAATCTCTAAAAAAGGGGCTGCAACGGATCTGATCAAAACTGATCCAGATTTGAACACTGTCCTGACGTCAGGACGGTGGCGCTACGGCTATTGGGCCAACTCCACCAATCAGGAGGAGACAACCACAGCATTGCCGTTCGAAAGCGCTGGAGACGCTGTAGTACATATGCCAGGCCTGTAGGTGGTGCTGTTGCTCACAGAATCAACCCTTGCTAAAACAGATCTAAAAAATGTCAAATTGAGCAAAATGAGGCATGGCTAAAATGCATGATGTTTGGTATTTAGAAAAAAAAAAAGTATAAATATGCCTTGTATAGGTATGGTCCTACACTATATTATTCAAATATAGCATGATAGGTCCACTTTAAGGAGGGAATCCAAAGTTATAATAAGCTGCATTTTATTCCCAACTAACATGGTCCTTTTCTACTATTAATTCCATTTATGCAATAGTTTATATTCAGTCATCTTCTGGCTCTTTATTTATTAACTTCTACGAGTACTTATGGCAATTACATGATAAATAATAATTTCATCCAAGCAATATGTACTGTTCTTAATATTTTATTAGAACTTTATATTAAAACTCTCAATCTCATTGTGAAGAAGCATCAAAACCACTTTCCCATCAACATATTTCACATTTGACTAAACACATTTGATCAGATACATTCAGATGTGTTCAGATTAAGATGTGCTAAAAGCAGGTGAAGACTAGATAGTGTGCTGTAGTAGTTCAACTCAATGACTCACTTTTAAAATGTAACTTTATACAGTAAAAAAATCGAAACATTTTTGATCAGGACTTGGTTTTGCTGTGAGTGAAGCACATGTTCAACATGCAGCAACACTTTGTGAAATTAGTAGTTCCATCGTGTAAACTCACACACATTCAGTGCACGTTCGGCACAGATAATATCAAGCAAAGCCTCAGAATGCTCTTTAATATAACTTGCTCATTAATATCTTGAGTCATTTAAAAAATATAATTAAATTGGTAACATTGGTATTATTGACAAAAGGTAGAAATATTTAAAATGTTCAATTTACTTTCTTCCTAAAATTGCACTGATGAAAATGTCAGTTTTTAAAATGTACGTAAATTAAATAAAGCTGACACGCAGTAATACAAAATGTCGTTTTAAAAAAAAAGCCTGGGGTCACCTCAGACTTTGTGTCAGCATTTTCCCTTTCGACTATAGCTCAGTAGATCATCAGGGATTAAAGAAAGTTGAGTGCAGTTCAGAGTGGCTCGGCCTTACGTCTCTGGGTGAGCCACAGCAGGAGAGAGATGACAAATGTAGACACTCCAAGAGGCGCAAACACCTGCAGAAGAGGGAACTCCCCCTGTAGAAAATAATAAATAAATACTTAGCTGTAAAAAATGAAGTACCAAACGAAATTATTCAGATAAAGCTGCTCCAAAACATACCTCTCGCAGACACTTGTATCCATGATAGGCGTCAGCACAGCTACACTCGAAGAAGCTCGGGCCGTAGGGCGCGCAGAGGGAGTTCTCCGGGCAGTTCATGGCTGAGGATTGTTAATAATTATAAGACAGTTGTCATATTTTACCAGAAAGCTACTGCAGGTTTATGTGAAGTGTATTAGATGGTAACTTACACAGCTGTCCGGTCTGGTTGCACGTATCTTTTTGGCCTTCACAGAAACGATTTCCCTCTTTGACCTCTACCTTTTCCCAAGAAGTGTTGCCCCCTGGGCAAAATATGTCTTGTGGTAAAATCCTATAGACTCACAAAAATAGAGTTATGAAGAATTAAAATGTTATACTCGTGAGCTGCTGTCATATTTGAGTTTCTGTAACAGAATACTTACATGTAATTTAACTCAATAAATCCTTGGAAGGCTGCTTCACTGATGTTGACAATTGGATTGAGTGAGAGGTCTCTGAAAAGCAACAGTTTGTAGGCCTATGGTGAAAAATCGTTTAAAAGACAAATGGTTCCATAAAAATACAAGTGAATAAGACGTGCATTCATAAGTCGAGTTTGGTTCCTTGCTAGAATGAAAGCTAGGATTAAAAAAAGTTCACGTCTCCTACTGCCTTAGAATTGTATCAATATTACAAATATATAGAGCATTTGCCCATGTACATTTCTATGTGTGTGGCAATTGTAAATAACAATTTATAATGCGGAACGTGCATCATGTGTGAAAATGATCATGCAGAATCAACATGTTCCTCAGTGATGTAACTTCTTCTTTGCATTAAGAATAACCATGGACTTCACTATGGAAGTGTCCAACAAAGTACATTACATTACATTGCATTTAGCTGACGCTTTTATCCAAAGCGACTTACAATAAATGCATTCGACCAAGAAGATACAAACTTGAAGAAAACAGAATCATATAAGTATTGAGTTATTTTATCTGTACCCTATATCAGGGGTTCCCAACCTTTTTTCCCAAGAGCCCCCCCAAATGACTCCTGTTGGAAGGTGCGCCCCCCCCCCCCCCCCCACACACACACAAGGGGGTGGGGGGGAATGGTGGGGGGCGCACAGCAGTAATTAAAGTTTAAAAGTCTCAAAAATGCTACAACTACTGTCCCAAACTGGATGAATGTGAAGTATTTTGTTAAAGGAGGATGAAAGCGTAATTAAGGAGCACTATTGGAGTGACTTTGATGGTTATTGGACTCAGGATTAATTCATTTGGATTCCCGCTGTATGAAGAAATTAAAGGACGGCGCAAGTGGAAACAATTCACATGCTCAAAGTAAGCCGGATTTTGCCGATGTGTTTATGTGGATTCAAAAGTCGTAAATAATCTACAAAATGGAGGAGACCGATCTGATCGGAGCAACTGTGACAAATAATCTGAAACCGGCATGGACAATGACTGTTTTAAAAATGCGCTTATCCAGAAAAGCCTGGTTTGGACACTTTACGGGCAGAAGAAACATTTCTATTAAAGAAAGAATTATACATTTCTGTCTTGTTATGCCTATAATAGCTACTAGCTTGAATTTTTATTCAAATTAATTAATCAATTATTTTTATTTTTTTATTGTAATGTAGAGACAAGGCTTTTAGTGACAATCATGTATTGCGTTACAATTATATGTAAAAAAAAGTCTAAATATGATATTTGGCCTCAAATCATCTGAGGCCTGGCGCCCCCCCCTGCGATCTTTGGCGCCCCCCAGGTTGGGAACCACTGCCCTATATTGTATGACATTGTAGTAACTGTACATACATCATTAATGCTGTTGATGCTCTCTGGAGATCCTCCACATGAGTTAGTGAACAATTGGACAGATCCAACCTGACACAAACAAAAAACATGGTTGAAACATTTACAAAACAAACATTATTTTGTAAATCTAACTTTTAAGTGTGGAAGCAGAGTAAAGTTCATATTTTTCAACTGGGGGAAAAGGATACATCATTAGCACTGGCAGCTTTTATTAAAGACTGTTGTTTACAAAGTTTAACTTATCTATTTATACTAGTCTCCTGTTACTCCTGTATAATATTTGTCTTCCTCCACTTTCAACATACGTCATTTATAACTGAAATCTTCACATTTCCGACGGACCCTGAGGGCGACATAAAAAGTCCTACCCGATGATGTGTTCAGGGTCACTTGTGTTGTCATTTCTCAAGCAGCATCGTCCTTCTATCCGACCAGCGGATGAGGAGCAGAACCGGCCCACTGCAGTGCCATTAAGGACAGCACCGCTGCAGAGCTCACATACCTGCAGTTACAGATCATGAGGAAGGAGAAAACAGGTTGTAAACAACAACATTCCCGGTCACCCTCCCTGGCACCAACAGCTAAGTTACATTAAACACGCTGTTGTGTGGTTACCGGTAACAAACTGCAGATATTACAATATCAAATCCAAGTCTTACCTGCAGATCGGTTACTTGATAACTTCCATAAAAACATAAATTAAAGACCAAAATAAGCACTGCAGGTTTAAGCTGGCTGCACCCAGCTTTCATTTTCATCGACTAAAGTCATATGATCCTACTGTAGCGTACACGTGACAGGAAGCTGGTCCAACACTTTATCCACAAATCCAACTTCATTTTGCGCTAAAATTGCGCATACACTCAATTTGCAGCAATTCGTGTACAATAATAGAATACACAGCAGCTACTGAATACATAAAGGAAACATCTGTTTTATTTTATTTTTGCTGAACAATTTAAACGTATTCAAAGAATATTTTTTGTAGGTAAAAAAGCCTTCGCTTTAATTTAATTGTATTGCAAGTTATAAATTATGTATATAATACCTTCTAAACCTTCGACCATTGTACCTTCATTTTAAGTCTACAACAAGTCAATATAGATTATAATATTAACAGACCTATTTCATTACATTTCTCAAATTGTTGACAAAATGTAGACGCATTTTTTCTGACTAATGAATTTTGACTGCGCTTTCACTGTCACTTTGGGATGCACCAAATACAATTGGGACTTCTAGTAAGAATATTTTTACGAGATTCAAAATAAATAATAAAACATGTTTTTTATATTTAAAACGTTATATTATACAGGTATTTCATCAATTGTAAAATATGTGTTGGAAATTATGCTAGTGTGCTCTTTATTCCTTACCCGCGTAATATGAACCACCCCCGGCTGAAACCGAGATGGTTTCGCCCATAAGGATTGTTGCAATGCCTCTTGATGGGCCACTAGATACACTGAACACATAATGGCTTGACGGCCCTGGTACATCTGCTTTCTCTGCGATTTTATCACATTTTATCTATGAGTTTCCTCCCTCGTCGCATTGATTTTTCATCAGCAAATATAGGAGGCAGAAAAAGCAAGCCAAACCACAAAAGTGCAACTGTCTCCCCTCATATTTGGAGAGGTTTTGCCATCGGCTCTGCGACGCTGTGAGGTTTGCAGGAAGCAACTGCACCTTTTATCCCGAAACTTCATCTGGTTACGCTCATGAAAACAGTTACCTGTACACGTTGAAACTCAAATATTACAGTAGGTGGTTTTAAGCTATCAAACATTTTTTTTAAACTAGGGAAGAGGATATTTTAACGCCAAAAACGGAGGTGCAATTACTTAACACTTGCAACATGGCTGCTGCGGGGACAGCAGTGGGAAAAGTTTGACACTGACGTGGGAGAAGTTTTATGCGAATGCTAGTTGGTACATGAGTTGTTGGACAGATATTAACTCAGCAGCCTCCTCCAGCCTGGCAGCTCTTTACGGACTTACAAACAAGTGGATAAACCGTGTGAAGCCTCCTCCTCCTCTGTAGTCACCGCCGACAGTCACTGCAGAGACTTTGTGGGGAACTGTGGTGTCTTCTTCTCCATCGGAAAGCTGCAGTGGCGTTCAAGGACTCAGGCAGCAGGCTGTGTTTCGAGCTAAAATGCATTTTTCCATACCCGAAACGGAGGTTCGCTCGGGAGAAAATGGATCAACCTATGTGGTGAGCATGATAATATGTGGTTTTGTTTTACCTGCTTTCACCTAGCTGTAAACGCTGGCCACAGGTTGGGCTAATGTCAATGCAGCAAGAGTGCTGATGTTTACTGTTGTAAAATATATCATAGTATCAACACTGGTGCATCACCACCGGCCAAACCACTGCCAGTGTCTAATGCAGTAAAAACATGATTTCCCTTTTAAATCATCTATAGTTAGACTACAAAATGCTTATTTGTTTCATAAATACAATTACTGTGTTTCATAAGTATACTCCCCAGACACTTGTTTTAGAGATTTAAAGGGAAAGGGTTTTAAAAGAAGTTGAGTAAAAGTATTTTCCACCTCTTATACATTCTTCCTAGATGAAATGTGATTATGTGAGGCCATTGAATGTATCATTAGGACAGTAACCCCTGTTCTTCATCATGATTCAACACTATTGTTGGTATTTATCTGGTTGATGTTGTAATGTGGCTCCATAATGTTGATTGCTATGTTGTTGGCCATAATTGACATGTTGTCATTTAGTTTCAAAACCACCTGAAGAGACTCTGGTTCATCACCTCAGACACAAGAGTCCTTTTTTTTTTTTACAGGTTTGAGTCATGATAAATCCTCTCAGAGATTTGACAAATGCCCCCATTACATCATATCATAACCTCCTTCTTGTTTACTGCCACAATTCTTTAACATTATTGTCAAGTCCCCAAACTAACAGCATAGAGTTGTTGCGCAGCAGGCTCCCATTGTGTGTTTCTTTCATTTGATTCTCTTGCCATTGTGTTTAAAAGGTCCTAGTTTCATTGCCTTGGGACATTGGCAGACATGCCTTGTTATGTTCTGAGAGTATAAGTTATTAAGGTTGTGTAATGATTGCTGTGGTGAAGCATCATAGATCTAAAACAGTGTAAAGTTGTGTTTATCTATCTAACAGATATAACACTTTAATACCAGTCACAGTAAGTCAGGATCTTTTTACAGTCTACGGTCAGGATAAACTGCCCATGCTTGGCATTCTTTTTTAAAACAATTTCTCACAAGTCAAAATATTATCTTATTTTCTTGTGTTGCTTGAATGTTAGCTCAGTTGTTCTAAACCTTAGGTCAGAGGACCCCCATGACTTATTTGAAGAGTTCCAGGGGTCCCTAGAAAATAGACAATCATTGATTTTCTTTATTTAATGCCCTATAGAAGTGAGGAGAGTGACTTTTGTGGTCGTAGGTTTTCACTCAACTGTAGTTAATGCTGATCAAGCAAGTTAAGCTAAATATAGAACTCTGGTCTTAATCATATCTAACAAACAAAGTCTTTTCACATGGCGGTCTCTAAAGCTTAATCTTATCAAATCCAGGTCTGTGGCGCTAAAAAGTTGGTGTCCGTGTGTATATTCCTATAAACTAGACCTGAACAAAAGTCATTACGTTGCCAGGAAACAGCTTGGACGGCTTGGGATCAAGTGCATTTCCTGTCAATTATTGATATAATATGAACAACCACTACAAAAACAAATCATCTTAGATCCGTTTTTGAATATAAGGTCCACAATTACATTAAAAAATCAATTGTATCAGAGGTTTTATAGAATGCACAAACTCTGATATTCACCAGATGGTTTGAAATAACATCTGTAGCATCTGATTTCCATGTGACATCACACAGGCTGCTCTCAGTTTGCTCTAAAGAGGAAACTAAAATTTGAATTATTATTGAACGTGTCGGTGTGTTCAGTGTCCCTGCTGCTTCACGAAAGTCAAAATTAGCTTTGGATAAAAACAAAGTTATATCTATTGTCTCGAAGTATTAAAAAAACAGATTTTATATCCCAAAATATAATTTAAAGTAATATAATTCATGTTTCATCCATACTGTATTGTTCTGCAAAAAAACAAAAACATTTGTATTTAAAATCTCAACTAATAGATGCCAAAATTAAAATGTCATGGTGCCATTTTCTACATGTTGACCCTGTGCCGCAGTGGGAACTTAAAATCAAAACAATTTGTGTTCACCTCTGCTGGCAGCCCTGTGACTCTCACAGCGACCTTCCTGTCCCCAGCAGACAGGAAGGGACTTTGCTTGATTATAATGCTGAGAGATGGGATATGTACCTTGGAACCAGTAAGCCACAGAATCTGCCGAGTTTGCACACTGCCTTTTTGCAATAACAAGTGCTGCAGATTTTTTAAACATGGTGCAAGCACAGACATATCTTTTAAATGTTTCAGTGCTCATACTTCCTCTTGTATCTTCCTCTGTGGTTCACATAGTGTTTGTGGGTGTGTAAAATAGACTTTGGTGCAGCTTGAAGTGGTCATGACTCATTTACTTTGGACGAGGAGCAGGTCAGGACTCAGATTAACAAGTTTATTTGCCCCCTTTTAAATGTTTGTAATATTTGGAGTTTATACTCAACAGCATGCGATATAAACTGAGTGACTCAGAGGTTATTCTTAAAAAGTGTCAAATAAACATGTATTAGAATTCCTTTGACTGAAATAGCTTTCCCCCACACGTACCGTATGTTGTTATATTTTGTGAAAGGCACTAGTGTAGACACTTGCAATCACGAAAAGAGTAAGGCTTGTGAAGTAACTCCAGACTACAAAGCTAGAAGTAGACCTATTGAATATCTTTATCAGGTCAAAAACGTAAAGCCCTGTTGAATTCTAGTTTTGTTTTTCAATAAAAAATGTCTTTGGCCTCACAAAGAGATTTAGACTGGGATTAAAAAGTGTACGAAAGAGCAATAGATAATAGTGTTTGTATTGTCCCTGAGCTAAACTGCTTGCGATTCACAAAAAACGTAGGGATATTTTGTTCTGTTATCAAAGAGAGCCAAAAACATTCTGCATACTCATTCTTCCTTCCTGCCTGGATACTGCCTACACACACATCTTTCAGTGAATTTGTTGGCCTCCCTCCAGATCCTTCAGCTATCCTCTTTCCCTCTAGAAGTTTCACTTTGCACTTTGTTTAGCTGCCGATTGGTTTTGTAGGTCAGCAACAGCAAGTGCCTGCAACAGTTTGTTCAGTAATGTTTCTCAGGAAGCTGATGTCTCTGGAAATGAAAGAGCAAGTATTATTGTAAATAACAAAATAGCAGTTTTATTTACTGTAGCCGGAGGCACTATGTTTTCTGATTGTCCGTACGTTCTTCCCATTCTTGTGAACCCTATCACTTAGGAACGCATGCAGGGAATTTCTTCACATTTTTTTTACCACTTGGACTTTAGGAAGAACCTAAATAAGGTCACTGTGACCTCGCATCCATCTTATTCTTGTGAAGATAATATATCAGAAGTGCCTTGTTGGAATTTCCTTACATCTGGCACATTTATTTTGGACGGACACGGATGTAAACTGCAACTGAATGCTTGTCAGAGCCTTACAACCACAAGACAATATTAGTTTATTTCTATTTCTTCCATAAAAAAATCAGCAATATGTACTTATAACAAGCAAAAAGAAGAAAATAGGATTAATCATCTTCAGGAGGCGATAGCAGCCACTGATTGTTTTCAATCACAATATGTTTACCGAAGCCCTCTTGGCAGGCTTTCTGCATGAGTTATCGT